GCATTTTGAGCAGCAAGTACCAGCGAGCAGTTCCGATGCTTCCGGAGGGTGGTGATGATGAAGGTAATGATGTTGCTGATGGTGCTGATGCTGAGCTGGTGATGATGGTGATGGTGCTGCTGCTGCTGATGCTGATGCTGATGATGATGTGGAAGAGGACAGGTATGATGCTGACATCGAAGCTAGTGGTGATGACATCACGACGGTGATGGTATCATGAGGATGACACTTGTGTTGCTGATGATGATGCTGCTGATGATGATGATGATGATGTTGATGATGATGGCTATGACGAGCCTGACTACGAATATGACAACGATTACGAGTATGACCATGCTTACAAGTATGAGCACGGTCGAGCATCTGATACAGAAACCTCCCTCCGAACAGCTGGGCCAGCGTTTTTTTGCCAACTTGCCAGAACGTTCACCCAGTTTCTTGGGCACGCTCGCTTCTTCAGGGTCAACAAAGTGGCCCAGGGCTGCTCTAAGAAACGTCTGGGAAACTGGCCCATATTTCTTAAACGTCAATCTTTTTGATGAGCTGTATGACTACAGATCTGACTGTGAATGTGAGCATGTGTAACATGTGTTTGATGAGGAGGACGATGAGGATCAGGATGCGGGAGGCAGGTGGCAGAAGGCAGGAAACCAAAGGCCAGGAGGCGGGTGGCCGGGAGGCAGAAGGCCAGGCGGCAGGAGGCCGGGAGGCAGCAGGCAGGAGGCCGGGAGGAGCAGCAGCAGCAGCAGCAGCGGCGGCAGCAGCAGCAGCAAAAGCAGCAGCAGCAGCCGGAGGAGGCAGGAAGCGGCCAGATGTGGCAGGAGGAGGGTGCGGAGGAGGCAGGAGGCAGGAGGCAGCAGGAGGCAGCAGGAGGGCAGGAGGGCAGGAGGGCAGGAGGGCAGGAGGCAGCAGCAGCAGCAGGAGGAGGCGGGAGGCGGCAGGTGCCTGCTGCAGGTCGGCGGTCGCTTGGGCGGGCCTCGGGCCCCGGGCCGGCGTGCCGCCCGTCTCCGAGCACGGACGTCTCTCGCGAGCTCGACGCCGCGGCCCTCGCGGGCTCGAGGCCTCGCGGCCGTCGAGCGGCGACGCACGCTGGGCACACCTGCGACTGTCGTGGGAGCGAGTTTTCTGTTCTGGACGTTCTTGGCTTCACTCGGGGCCTGTTTTTGTCGCCGCCTCGGCGATGACGGGCGCTGCCGGGGGGGAGAAGGGGGGGGGGAAAGGGCTGGTAGCGTCACGATTCGGGCCGCGCCGTCTGGGCATCAGGCACCCCTGGCCATTCCCAGATGGGGCAGGCGCGAATCGTGACGTTCCCGGGGGGGCTGGGGGGGGGGCGGGGAGGGCGGGGGGGGTGGGACGTCCCCGGTCATATCATTGGCGCTATTGCCACAATCGTTGACACGGGCGCTCTTTGGCTTCAGGAGGCCCACGGGAGCTTTCGGCTGGACCCTTGACCTCCTGGCGCTTCAGGGGCCTCCGGCTCCTTCGCCGCCACGGCTGGCACGCAGCTCGGAAAAGACGCCGGGACGAAACCTAGGCGAGGTCGGGGGACCCGTTCCGAGCGGATGCCGCCCACGCCTCCAGTGCCACGGAATAACATCGGGGGAGCGTAAGACCCGGGTTTGCCAGGACTCGGGTTCGCCATCGTTTTTTGACGACCGCGCCTCGGATTTTGACGAGGAGGAGTTTCGTGGGGTGTCTGCAGCGGGAGGCCTCGTCAAAATGCAGGCTCGGCCTCGTCATTTTTTTGACGACCTCGTCGGGGATTTCCGAGTCCCCCGTACCCGGGTCTTACGTCTCCCCGATAACAATGCGTTTTTCTGTTTCTTTTTTCAGTTTTTCCCAACCCTCCTCGGTTGGGTATCCGTTTCAAATCGAGCACCGCGGTGGCGTCTCCCTCCTTCTCCTACCGCCTCCCGCCTCCGCCTGCCCTCTCCTCGCCGTTCCTGGGGGGCTGCGATCTGCGAGACTGTCGCCACTTTCGAGGGCTGCTGGTGGGTCCAGCGGAGTGAGGCACCGCGCGGACTTGAGGTAGGCCTCGCCATCCCTGGGGGTCTGCGATCTGCGAAACTGTCGCCACTTTCGAGGGCTGCTGGTGGGTCCAGCGATGCACCGCGCGGACTTGAGGTAGGCCTCGCCGTCCCTGGGGGGCTGCGATCTGCGAAACTGTCGCCACTTTCGAGGGCTGCTGGTGGGTCCAGCGATGCACCGCGCGGACTTGAGGTAGGCCTCGCCGTCCCTGGGGGGCTGCGATCTGCGAAACTGTCGCCACTTTCGAGGGCTGCTGGTGGGTCCAGCGATGCACCGCGCGGACTTGAGGTAGGCCTCGCCGTCCCTGGGGGGCTGCGATCTGCGAAACTGTCGCCACTTTCGAGGGCTGCTGGTGGGGCCAGCGATGCACCGCGCGGACTTGAGGTAGGCCTCGCCGTCCCTGGGGGGCTGCGATCTGCGAAACTGTCGCCACTTTCGAGGGCTGCTGGAGGGTCCAGCGATGCACCGCGCGGATTTGAGGTAGGCCTCGCCGTCCCTGGGGGCTGCGATCTGCGAAACTGTCGCCACTTTCGAGGGCTGCTGGAGGGTCCAGCGGAGTGAGGCATCGCGCAGACCTGAGCGGGACTTCGCCGTCCCTGGGCGGCCATGTCATGTTGTTGCTGCCCCGCCGACGTTTCGAGCCCCTTGCGCACAGTCTCCTTTTGGGACCTTGCGTCTTCCTTAGTGACTCAGGGGCTTACTTAGTTACTAATCGTTTTTCCCTTGATTGGGGACCTGCGAACCTTCCGACCACCGCTCGCAGAGGTATATGCGTCCATGTCACGTCGCCGCCTTCTCGTCAAATCTTCGAAGCTACTCCTGCCCCGGATTGCGCAGGGGTTGGGTACGTCGCAAAGGTAATTGCACTCTGGCAGCCTGTCTCTGGCACCCTAGGTGCCCTTTCGGTTCGCAGGGCCGTCATAAAACGTCTCGGGATGAAGAACTGGTCGTTAGGGTGGGGTCCACAGGTACGGGGGCCCGCGTCGCGAAAGCACCGCACCGGATCACTCTGACTACGACGGCCAAGTGAGAAGAGGAGGAGGAGGAGGAGGAGGAGGAGGAGGAGGAGGAGAAGGAGAAGGAGGAGGAGGAGGAGGAGGAGGAGGAGGAGGCAGGAGGTAGGAGGCAGCAATGGGAGGAGGCCGGAGCAGGAGAGGGGGGAGAAGGAGTGCAATGATGAGAAGGAGCACAATGGGGAGGAGGAGAAGGAGGAGGAGGAGGCAGGAGGGAGCTTCTCCTCCTGCTGCCACAGCGGCCAAGCGAGGTTGGCTTAGGCCCTGCTATCTCCCTGCGTTCGTTGCCAGTTCGCGCAGGGGACGAAACGCCAGGACAGCGGATCTGAGGGGTTCTCCAGGGGAGAAGCTACGCTGCCACCGCACTTAGTGAAGCCACGCCGCGCGTCTCCGGGCCATGGTTTGCCGAATGCGGGCGCCAGTAGAACAGTCGGCCGATTTTTGCCATCATCTGGATGCTAGAGTCGGCGTATGCGGGGGAGCGCCCAGTTTTCAGCCAGCTCTGGGGCCCTCGGAGGGCCCCGAGGCCTTGTTGTGTCTTTGCTGCGTCGCCGAAGCTGCTCGAGGCCTGTCGGCTTCCACGTCGCTGTCGGGTCTGCCAGTTGTCGGTTGCATTGTCGCCGTGGATGGCCTTGCATCGCAACGATCCTCCTTCTCCTCCTTCTGCTCCTCTTCCTCCTGCTCCTCCTCCTGCTGCTCCTCCTGCTGCTGCTCCCCCTCCCCCTCCTCCGCTCCACGGGTGCGATTTTCGCCTTCTCGTCTCGGCGGTCTATGCGTTGGCTCTATGACTAGTGCCCTATGATGTCTGTGGTGGTTGCGATTTTCGCGTTCCTGTCCTTGTGCTTTGTGGGTGGTGCTCAATAGTGTGTGCCCTAGGATGCCTCTGATGATTGCGTTTCACACATTATGGCCCTGGTGCATGGGTTGTGCCTTATGGCTGGTGCCATACGATGCCTTTGATGGTAGCGATTTTTGTAGTATTGCCCGGGTGCTCATTGTATTGCGCTCTACGATACCTCTGATGGTTGCGCTTTACGCGTTCTGGACTGTGTGGCCTGTGGGTGGTGCTCTATGGCTGGTGCCCTATGATGCTTCGGATGGTTGCGGTTTTCGCGTTCTGGCCCTGGTGCGCTGAGTGATGCTGTGTGGCTGGTGTCTTGTGACGTCTGTGGTGATTGCGATTTTTCGCGATCTTGCCCCTGCTCCTTAAGGATCGTTCTGGGTGGCGCTCTATGGCTGGTGCTTTGTGTGATGTCTTGGTTGTTTTGATTGTCGCGTTCTTGCCCTGGTGCACCATGGGTTGTGCTTTGTGGCTGGTGCCCTGTGGCGTTTCTGCATTGTACGGTTTTTTCGTAATCGCCCTTGTGCCCAATGGGTTGTGATCTATGGCCGGTGCCCTATGACGTCTCTGACGGTGAGGATTTTCGACCTCATGTGGTCTTTATGGGTGGTGCTCTTGGGCTGGTGCCCTATGGTGCCTTTGATGATCACGCTTTTCTTTCTTGCATGGTGCCCATGTGTGGTCGTTGATTAATGTTGTCCATTGCGTCTTGGAGGGTTGTGATTTCCTCGTCCTTGTCATGATTGCTTATGGGTGGTGCTCCATGGTGACCTGTGATGTCTTGGATGGCTGAGTTTTTCGCGTTCTTGCCCTTGCGCCCTGTGGGAACTGCTTTACGATAGGTGCCTCATGATACCTTTGATGTTTGCGGTTTTCGCATTCCTGGCCACCCGTGGGTGGTGTTGGTCTATGGTTGATGCACATCGCGTGTTCAAAAAAATCCGGGTTGGCGTCCATGTTGACAGTCATGTCTCTCTGTGCTGCAGAACAGGTCCGTGTGTACTGGAACCCGTTCTCGACTCCCTCCTCGCATCTCCTTGCTCACGCCTTCATTCCCATTGGACGCTCATTAGCTTCAGTGGCGCCAACAGAATACAAACAAACCTTGTGACCAGCGACCGGGTTGTCGACACGAGATCCGACTGGACTTCCTGAACAGCTCACGTTATGCTGTCATCGTCCGTAATCGTTTGGCTCAAGTGGCTGAAGTCTGCAGACAGGGGGGCAGCGCCGCGCGCTTTCGAGCAACCATTGCCAGCTTCCGTACCCCGACCATGCGTTGCATCTTCATCGCCCTACTCCTCGCAAATGTAGCCGCCGCGGCGCACGCGGAAGGTCCGAGCGGCCCAAATCTCACGGAGTGGGAAGAGGGCCAGGCCAATGCGTCGGCGGCTGCGGGCGCCGTGGCCGCCAAGCAGGCCAAGATGGCCGCCGTGGACAAGATCGTCACCATGCTGTCGGACTTGCAGGCGAAGGTGATCAGCGAGGGCGAGACCGAGGCCAAGACCTACAGCGAGTTCGCGTGCTTCTGCAAGGACACCATTAGCGAGAAAACCGCGGCGATCAAGGCAGGGGAGGACGACAAGGCGAGCCTCGAGGCCGCGATTGCGGAGGGCGCGGCACTCCGCGACGAGCTCGACACCACAATCGCGACGCTGGTCGAGACCATCGAGGAGGCCCACGCCAATGTCACGAAGGCGAAGGAGATTCGCGCCCAGGAGCTCGCCCTGTACAAGGCACAGGCGGCCGATGTTGAGGCCGGTCTCATCGGGCTGGAGGGCGCGATCAAGGCTTTGAAAGCCTCGAAGAAGCCAGCCTTCGTGCAGTTGCAGGGGGTTGCCAAAACGGTGCGTACAGCAGCGCTCATAGCCGACTCGCTGGGGCTCATGAAGGGTTCGGCCGCAGGGCCTATCAGCGCGTTCTTGCAGGAGGAGCCTGAGGTGCCTTTCGAGAACTACAAGTTTCACTCATCAGACATCATCAGTACCCTTGAGGAGCTGGAAAGGTCGTTCAAGGATACCAAGATCAATTTGGATTCTTCTGAGAAGGCGAGCCTTCAGGGACACACCATGTACCTCCAGTCGATGGCTGCCAAAATCAAGGACCTTAACCTCGACCTGGATGCCACCAAGGTCAAAAAGGCGGACACGATTGCTAAGATCAAGGCAGACAGCGAGAATCTGTCCACTGTCGCTGCGAAGCTGCTTGATGATCAGCAGTACTTGGAGACGCTTGCCCAGATGTGCAAGGACAAGAAGAAAACCTGGGACCAGCGCTCCAGCACGCGTGCCGACGAGCTGTACACCATCACGCAGGTCATCGGGATCATAGAGGGCGCTGTCAGCAACAAGACCCGTGCGGCGACCGTGCGATTCAACCAGGTTGGCGTGAGCCTGAGAATCGCAAACGCCGTCGCCATGGACAGGTCTGCGATGGAGGCGGTTGAAGCCGAAGCAGAGGCTGCGGAGGAGGGTCAGCCGGTCGCGTTTCTGCAGCGCGTCAGCGTTCGGAGGCACCTCGGCGGGGAACCCGTGGAGGATGGCCGCGAGGTTGTGGTATCATTGCTCAAGTCGAAGGGCCAGCAGCTAAAGAGCCAGGTTCTCGCTTCGCTTGTCGCCCAGATCTCCGCGGTGCATGGCGACGACCCCTTCGCGAAGATCAAGACGCTCATCCAGGAGCTCATCGAACGCCTCCTGCAGGAGGCCTCCAACGAGGCGAACCAGAAAGGCTGGTGTGACAAGGCCACCTCCGCGGCCACGCAGAAGCGCGACTACTCCGTGGAGGAAATCCGGTCCCTGAATGCTGAGATGGCCGAGCTGGAAGCCTTACGTGACAAGCTCGCCGAGGAGTTGTCTGTGCTCGCAGACGAGATCGCTGAGTTGGTGGCCAACCGGAAGAAAGCGGAAGAGATTCGCACCAAGGAGAAGGGAGAGAACGAGTTCACCATCGCAGAGGCGGAGGCTGGTCTTGAGGCCATCAACCAGGCCATGGACATCCTAGACAAGTGGTACAAGACGAATGTCAAGAACGAGGTCTCGTTGGCACAGCAGGGTCCTGAGAAGGATGCGCCCGACGCGGGCTTCGATAATTTCGAAGCTTACAAGGGTGCACAGGCCGAGTCGGGCGGCATCATTGGAATGATGGAGGTCATCGCCTCAGACTTCAGCAGAACCATCACCGAGACTCAGAAGGCGGAGGCCGCGGCGGAGGACGAACACATGGAATTCATGACTGAGACAGGCAAGTCTCTGGGGGAGAAGAAGGCGATCGAGGCGCAGACGACCACTGAGAAGGACAACGCCGTTGAGGACTTGGAGGCCGCGAGTGACAAGCTGCAGTCCAACAACGATATCTTGCAGGCATCCATCACCGAGCTGATCGAGCTCAAGGCCGCGTGCATCGACACTGGCATGAGCTACAGCGACCGCGTGGCTAATCGCGAGGACGAGATCGAGGCTCTCAAAAAGGCCCTGTGCATCCTCGGCGCTTATGAGAAGTACGGCCCAGATGGAGCCCGCGACGCGTGCTGAGTGGTGTCGGCAGCGGTTGGATGGACTGGTGGATGTGGTGTGTGACGGCAGGAGGGGGGGAGGAGCAGGATGAGGAGGAGAAGGATGAGAAAGGAAGAGGGGGAGGAGGACCCGATCGAGGTGGTGGCGGTGGAGGTGGTGCCATGAGTGTCGCGTTCTACCCAGCAGATGCGGAGGACCACCCCTGGTGTCTGCAAGATAAAAGCAATATCACGATCGCGGGCACTGCGCCAGTTCCAACCACAGGCTCACTCACATCTCATTCAGCACATCAGCGTCGAGTCGTCAAATTCTCAGCAGCATGCTCCGCCTGCCAGGGGCCTCGCCGGGATCATGTTTCGTACCCCTCCTGCGCTGGATTCTCGTTGTGCTGCCGCCTCCCCATTGGTTACTCACGCCTCCCCTCTTCTCTCTCTCTTTCCCGAGGCCTCCGCTGTCGTGAGTCTTGTTGCAACCTGGACCTCCAGAGGTCTAGACCCATTCCCCAGGACCGGTCTCTTTTCAGTTGACGAACGAACAACGCACACCCATACCCATAGGGGGGTCGTTGGGAGGAGGACTGGCTATGGGTATGGGTGCGGGCTGTCGGACCCTGGGCAACGCTCCCGTTCGAGCGGGGAGCCCCATCCGACAACACGCACCCACAGCCCTCTCCGACCCCCCTGTGGGTATGGGTGTGCGTTGTTGGTTTGTTATCAGTTGGGTCTCTGACGGCCCTGGGGGGCCTGGTGAGGGCCCCATGGCGGCCAAGAACGGCCAAGAGCCCTCCGCCGTGATGCTCTCGCGACGAGAGGAGGCGGGGGCCCCTTTCCTGCCTCCTACCTCCTGCCTGCCGCTTACCTATCTATCTTTCTATCCATCTTACATATATAAATAGGTACATCTATCCACACATACATAACTGTATCTTTCGATACATAGATATAGCGACATGTATATCACATAGATCTATATCTATTATAACCTTCTCATTTCTGTATATATGCATATATATACACACCTATCCATACCATCAGGGCACACATCGCATGACGCAGCTACACATATACACATTTCACATTACATACCTATGTACCTCATATGTTTGTATGCATATATGTCTTTATACCGATCATTAGTTACATGAGCATGTTTTATATAGGCATGTTCGTACATCCAGATTTGTATATTCACATATGTTTATCCATCTATCTACCGATATTTAATTACACTTATAAGCTATCAATCGACGTATACATATGTATATATATATATATGTCACGTTCAGTACATCTGTATATCTATGTATATATATATATATATATATGTATGTATCGGAGGTTGGGGGGTGTGTCCGACGTGAAACGGAGACCCCCCCCTACCGGGAAATCGATTTCGGTTTCGGGTTCGTGTCGTGCGTGCCGTGCGTGCGTGCGTGCGGGCGAGGCGAAGCTGCGTGGGCGGGCGAGAGGAAATCCTTCTGTGGCTGGGCCGCGGCCGGACCAAATGATTCTCCTCCGGCGGCCGGTGGCGCGCGGTGTCCCGCTGGTGTCCCGCTGGTGTCCCGAAATCCTCCTGTGGCTGGGCCGCGGCCGGACCAAATGATGCTCCTCCTGTCAAACGGTGTCCCGCGGTGTCCCGCTGGTGTCCCGCCGTGGGCTGCGCATTTTAAAAAATCGCCGCTTGCGGCGAGCCATCCAATGCAAGTCTGCATGCAAACCGACATGCAGACCGACAAGCACATCGAAATGCAAATCGATTTGCACATCCAAATGCAAATCGTAAGGCGCCGTGGGCGCCGCGGCGAGCTTTCCAATGCACGTCGACATGCACATCGAAAAGCAAATCGAAATGCACATCGATATGCAAATCCAAATGCAAATCGGAAGGCACATCGCAGGCGCCGCTGGCACCAAGCTTTGCTCGTGCCTCGAGCGCCGGACCTGCAACCAAGGCAGCATCGGGTGGCGCCGCGATCAGTCACTGTTGCACCGCAGCACGCACGTTCGACCACGTCGACTAGCGCTGAGGTGAGGTTCGCGCGATTGATTAGCGCACGCGGGGACAGCGGTTGACGACAATGTTAAGTGCGCTTCGCCAATGTCGCCACATCACATCACGCTCAAGTGCACAATCACTCTACTCACGAGACTCCGCCCCACAGGCATTGTCAGAACAATATCACCAGTTTTGCCCATGCCCCCCAACCTCCTTATCACCCGCAGGGTGGTCGTATAGGTAATGACATACATCGGAGGTGAGGGGGTGAGATCGAAGTGGAACGGAGAGCCCCCCTACCGGGAAATCGATTTCTGTTTCGTGTTCGTGCGTGCCGTGCGGGCGAGGCGAAGCTGCGTGGGCGGGCGAGAGAAAGTCTCCTGTGGCTGAGGCGCGGCCGGACCAAATGTCTCCCTTCCGGGCGGCCGGGGGCCCGCGGTGTCCCGCCGGTGTCCCGCTGGTGTCCCGTGTGGCTGAAGCGCGGCCGGACCAAATGACTCCCTTCCGGGCGGCCGGGGGTCCGCGGTGTCCCGCCGGTGTCCCGCTGGTGTCCCGCGGTGTCCCGCGGTGCCCCCGGTGTCCACGCGATGATGATGCTGATGCTGATGATGATGTTGATGATGATGTTGATTGATGATGATGAATGATGATGCTGGTGATGGCTGGATGTGATGCTGCTGATGATGCTGATTGATGAATGTTGATGTTCATGATGATGATGGTGGTGATGCTAATGATGATGATGATGCTGCTGATGATGAGGACGATGATGATGATGATGATGATGAGCATCGAGTGAGATCGAGTGTGACATAGATCGAGTGAGATCGAGTGAGATCGATTGTGAGATCGATTGTGAGATCGATCGAGGGAGACCGATCGAGCGAGACCGATACTGAGATCGATAGTGAGATCGATAGTGAGACCGATCGAGTGAGACGTTGGTTCCCCCCCCCCGAACCTCCTTATCACTATCACCCGAAGGGTGGTCGTATAGGTATCTATCTATATATCTGCCTACTTACCTACCTACTTACCTACCTACGTACCTATCTGTCTACCTCCTGCCTGCCTCCTGCCTCTGCTCCCTCATGCTCGGGTGCCACGACCCGTGCCACCGTGGCGGCTTCCGTGTGCTCTTGGGGGGCCCAGTGTAGCGGTGTCATGCGCAGGCCCAGTTGCGCAGCTGTGGCGACTTTGGTGCGCGCCTGGGGCCTGGCGGAGTGACAGACGCCCTACGCAGGCTCAGATGGGACCCCGCTCTTCCCTTGGTGCCGCTGGCTGCGCAGCTGTCGCCATATCCGTGTGCTCCTGGGAGGTCTCCATTCCTTTTGGCCCCATCCTTCTGTTGCATCACTCGTATTATCTGGTCTCTGAACTTCTTTCCTTCTCTTGGTCATCGCTGTTTTGCCGTCTTTTCCGCTTCATGCCATATTCTACGGTGCTGCCTCATATTTGTTCGTGAGGCGTGCAACGCGTATGCCCCATTTTGCAGACTGCTCAGAGGATTGCGTTCCTTGTAATATTTTCACCGGGTCGGGATACCTATACGACCACCCTTCGGGTGATAAGGAGGTTCGGGGGGGGGAGGATGCAGCGTCTCACTCGATCGGTCTCACTATCCATCTCACTATCGGTCTCGCTCGATCGATTTCACTCGATCGATCTCACAATCGATCTCACTCGATCTATCTCATTCGCTCGGTCTCACAATTGATCTGATTATCGATCTCACAATCGATCCCACATTCGGTCTCACTATCGATCTCACTACTGGTATCACAATCGATCTAACATTCAACGTCATCATCATCAACAACAACACCACCATCTCCATCGTCATCGGGACACTGTCATCTTCACATCATCATCGTCGCCATCATCATCAACGCCATCATCATCAGGCCATTATCATCAACGCCATCATCATCTCATCATAGTCATCATCATCATCATCGGGACACAGCCATCGTCATCATCACCATCAACATCATCATCATCGGGACACCATCATGGTCACCATCATTTTCATCGTCAGCATCATCAACAACAACATCGGGGCACCATCATCATCATCAGCTCATTATCATCATCAACATCATCAGCAGTATCATCATCACCAACATCATCATCAATATCATCATCGGCACACCATTACCATCACCATCATCATCACCACCGTCATAGTCATCATCATCATCATCATCATCATCATCATCATCATCATCATCATCATCATCATCATCGGGAGACCATAATCATCATCAGCACCATCATTACCAACATCATCATCAACAACAACTGGCAGAAGCATTATCATCATCGTCATCTCATCATCATCATCATCATCATCATCATCATCATCATCATCATCATCATCAACAACATCAACATACTCATCATCACCAGGACACCATCATCGTCATCATCACCACCATCAACATAACCATCATGATAATCATCAACAACATCATTATCGGGACACCGACGGGACACCGACGGGACACCGGCGGGAAACCGCGGGCCCAGAAGGGAATCATTTGGTCCGGCCGCGCCTCAGCCACACGGGACACCGACGGGACACCGGCGGGACACCGCGGGCCCCCGGCCGCCCGGAAGGGAGTCTTTGTCCGGCCGCGCCTCAGCCACACGGGCACGCAGCGGGACACCGGCGGGACACACCGCGGGCCCTCCGGCCGCCCGGAAGGAGACATTTGGTCCGGGTCGCGGCCGCGCCTCAGCCACAGGAGACTTTCTCTCGCCCGCCCACGCAGCTTCGCCTCGCCCGCACGGCACGCACGAACACGAAACCGAAATCGACTTCCCGGTAAGGGGGCTCTCCGTTCCACTTCGATCTCACCCCCTCACCTCCGATGTACATTGATGGATGCAGTTCGTTCGCATCAGTCAGGTTTTTCATATTGCATTTCTTCGGTATCTCTGTCAAAAATCTTTCTTTCTCGTGCATCTTGACTCGCGCAATAGCACCTCTGGTGTGCTGGATGTGGTAGTCGGGTGGTGCACAGAGGGGGCGGAGCAGGCGTGGACGAGGAGGACGAGGGGGAGGAGGAGGACGAGCAAGGGGACGATGATGTGGCTTCTGATGGTGGCTGTGATGATGGTGAGGGCGATGAGGAAGCGAGGCGGAGGATCCGAGGCGCAGATGCGGCGCAGAGGAGTACGCGGAGTGAGGAGGGTGAGGACGGTGGGCGAGGATCGCAGGCCAAT